GCAAGCATTATCACTGGTCTTGGATTCACGGGTTTCACACCTTCCGGCCAATCGACTTGGAACGGAGCGGCCAATGTTTCACCCCTTGCCATCGAATGGCCTTCCAACTTCAAAGTCCTACTCGATTCGTGGAACATGAGGGCGAATGTTTGGCTTCGCGAGTGCGTTTACAAGCGTGTCACGCCCAAGGGCAAGAAGCCGGGCTTCTGGAGCAGCATGATGACGTTCGCAGTCAGTGCTTTCTGGGTAGGTCTTCGCAAACTCAAGAGGTGTTCTTCCTCGGTTGCTGACTTGGGCTATCTTCGTCATCTGTGTAGCACGGAGCTGCTGTCGGGTACTACCTGACCTTCCTCATGGGCGGTTTCATCACAACCGCCGCCCGCCTCGTTCGTTCGAACGTACGTCCACTCGTCCTTCCCGAGGTAGGCAAACCCGCCGGACTGGCGAAACGTCTCTACGACATTGTCGGAACACTCGTTTCGATTCTTATCCTCAACTATGTCACCCCTCCGTTCATGTTGTTGACTTGGAAGGAGTCCATCGAAGCATGGAATAGGCTGGCGTGGTACGGCCACATCATTATCATGGGTGGATTGGTGTTCTTCTATGTTGGAGGAGCCAAGTTCTTTAGGAGCTTGCAGAAGAAGAGTACGAGTGAGAGGCCCAAGTTCACGCCGACACCGAGTGGGGCTGCTACTCCCATTGGAGAGAAGACCTTCCAGCTGCCGCCATCGTTCGATAAGTTGGCGCCTCCACGTAAAAGTTAGATTATTTGGCCTGGGTATGCTCGAGTTTGAGGGGGAATCGGTGTTGGAGATGTTATATTCACTACGAGGAAGGGGACAGGTGGTGCTTGCTTTGTGGTCTCTTGCTGTCTAAGTCTTGCTGCATCTCTTTTTCGTATGCTTATCCTAGCTCGTAGGCTCTATCGAATACTACTAGGTAGAAGAGTAAAAAGTACTGCTATACGTTTCTAGAACGCTGAATCCATAGATGTTCACAGGTTTCCTTTTATTGCAGCTTGCCTCAGTACAAAGGCTCAAGCAGTGAGCCAAGCTCATGGCAGCATCAGCACCGCCGACCGGTCTGAAGCTGAAGCGCTGAAGACTGATTCTAGAGTCTAGACCGCGGCGGCCGCTCAGACTGCGCAGTGCGCAGTGACGTTTCACAATTTCACGTGACACGCAGGTGCCTGGCGGCGCGTCGTTACCGGTTGCCACGCACGGACCACATCCATCTCACACTGCAACCCCCACGATGACAGAATAAAGTCGACCTCCGTATGTTCATTCTCCACCATTTAGTCGATTGCCTCTCTTACTGAACATAATCAGTCAGTTTCTCTGTTTTCTACACTATTCAACTAGCCAGCAGGGAGGCCAATCATCGGTCAATAGTCCAGTTACATCGAAGCTCTCCTGCTCTCCTCCGTCGGGTCCGCTCAATCTTGAGAATCATCTACAATAACTATTGAGCGATAAGCTCCCCACACGCTCCTTACAAGCCGTCTCTTACGCGCCCTTTCGCCATTATCTATCAGTCAACTTCAGAGACAAATCCAACTTTGTCCACTCTTACACCTTCAACTCTTCGCCGAAGATGTCACGTCCCGGTGGGTAGAGGAATCAACAGTCCGCTGGTATCGTTCTGAAAACTCTCGCTGATGTCTAGACTCTCCGCGTACCCCTCGCCCTCGTCGACTTCATCGGCTACCGCAGCGGTTAGACTACACCCTCATACCTGCCCCTCTAGGTATCGGTCGCTCGTGTTCCAAAGTCTTTCTCCTAACAGGTCTGTTATAGATGTATCCTTAGCCAACCTCACCGAAAAGTCTCCCCTACCTGCGATCATTGTCACACCTTCATCACCTTCCGATGACCATCGGTTTTCGATCGCTTTCCTCGCGCCGCCGTCCAAACCCAAACCACCTCTTCGCGAAATACTTCCATCTTTACTTTCCTCATCGAGAACTCAGACGGCTTTTCTTTTCCTCGTGATCGCCGTTGTCATGGTGTGCCATCTCGTTGCCCACCAGATGGCTACCCAGACCCGTTATCAACCCGACTCCCATTCGGGTTTCACATCGCAAGACGCCCGTTCAATTGAGGAATGGTTTGCTTCCCATCAACATCAAATATAAGTCCTGGGTTTATATCCAGTGAACATCCAATTTATTTCCAAGGAATCTCTCTGAAGCATTAGTCCTCAATGTTTTTTGTCGCGCATCCGCTCGGTATTTGTTTAGTTATTCTTATCTGCTTTTATCGTTCCTCTGGGTTTTTGTGTCACCCTGATTTTTACATAACTTATCGCGACAAATGGACGCTGACTAGTCATTACTACATGTTTTGCTTGCGAGCTCTGCTTTGACTTACTATTAGGTTACGGTATCGACGTATTCGCTTCTCCTTATTCTGTTTGGGCTCAAGGGCGCTCGCTTGCCTTTCATCGACTTGTCGGAGACTTTTTCGGTGAGCCACTCCATTCTTCATCGCTCCTTGCAGTCCCTGAATATTCGGGTTGTAGGTATGGAATGGTCCAGCCACTCTACAATATATTGATTTTTTGAATGTACTCCCATCTGGAGGTAAGAGCATACCGCCTCAAGCCTCCGGCTCATCAACCTATATTCCCTGATCACCGCATGTGAACATAAGCACCCCAGTTCGATCAATTTTTGATGCAGATTCCAGTTGATCTGTCAAGAGCTTACTGTGGGCAAAAGTGACAGGCCGACGTCGCAATATGAGCCCGCAGCGAATGGACGGTGTGCAAGGGTGTGCAATGACTTCCACGCTTGCCAAGTTTCGGAAGATACCCGTAGATGCCTTGGGCACGGGATATAATCTTAGTCCTTGACCTGGAAGTGGTGTGTCTTCTTTTTCTCCTTTCACATTGACTTTGTTTCGCCTCCCATTCTGCTCGACATTCCCATCCGATTTCCTCTCCATCCCTCAACTTCTTTCAACACGTTCCTTCATTTTTGACCCTGTGTATTCTGAAGTTGATTGATGGTTAACCGGACGTTAACCTCTTGATCGCAGGCACGTCAGATTTACCGACTCATCTTCACTGCCGTATATATGAAGCAGCGGAGCGAATATTGAGGAGATGATTTTCTCCCTGCCGTGTGGCTCTGGCAGTCCTGTCCATACATTCTCGCGTCGGCATCTCGATGTTTATGGCAGGTATATAGCTCCTACTAGACGAGCAACCTCTGCGACCATGTCGTCTTCCGACTCTTCCTCGTCCTCAGAATTGGATTCCACAACCAGTCCCTCGACTATCGCAACTTCTATTACATTCACCTCTGTGATGTCAACGTCAACCTCTTCCTCAAACACATCGACCTCGCACATATTCACACCTCTACCTCCGCAAGCTCCTCCCGCCACAGTGATTTCTACTACTGTAGGCTTTCAGAATACCTACGTCCTCCCAGCCAGTCCTTCGAGTCGAATCGACGCCGGGACTCCGATCTCCGTGTCTGCGTCATCACCCTCGGAATTGTCTACCCCGAATCGCTTGTGGTTACCTACAAGTGCGCCCACTCGGACCTCGGAGTCGACCCCGCGAATGCCGAGTCAGAGCCCGACGCTGGCGCGACCCTTGACTCAGCTCGCTGTTTCAAGTACCGCTCTGGCGGAGGGTGATGTGGACAACGTCAGCGAGTCAATTCTGGTGACCACCCAGAATGATGTCGATGACCACTCAGTCGAGGTTTCCACCCCAGCTTCGGAGTTTTCGTGGGTATTCTATTCGTCTTAGCTCTTGGTGAAGTTGTTCTGAAACCCGAATGAATGCCCAGCGTCTCTTTGAATTGGGCCGCTCTGGCCAGTCATGGACCAGAGAATCATAATGCAATTCCGCACACTGTGGTTCATGTCACAGACAGTGTTAGGAGCGCTGGACGATTCTCTAGCCAAGGAACCCCCTCGTCTTTTCCGAACTCGGAGGGCGGCAGTGGTGACGAGGCGAGGTGAGTCTGAGCGAGTCACATCCCCTCGGTCGCTCACTGATGTCTTTTGTACGCAGGCACGGGCCCGACTCATCTGTAGTCATCAGCGGTGTATGTGGCGGAGTCGCCTTTCTTGCGATCATACTCCTCCTTTGCTTTTCCTTCTTTCGGAGACGCAGACGGAGAGGTCTGAGCATACCCGATGAAGGCCCAAATAAGGGGTGGTCCTATGTGACGGAAGTGGAGAAACAAAGCGTGCCCGTCCATGACCACAATCCTCATCACTCTCGTGTTCTTAGACCTCATACCACATCCCCGACATCAAACCCGAACCCGTTCGCGTCTCCGTATGACCCCTCCAGGTCAAGACGGAACACGAGCAGTAGTATCAGCAGTAGCATCAATTTTGCTCGCTCGAGTACTTCAGACACAGAGACGCTAGCAGGACCAGAGGCACTCGTGACGTCGTCTTTCGAGTACAACTTGAGTTACCATCCGAGAAATGCGATACGGCAGCCTTCGCTGATGACAATAGTGGATATGATTAGGGGGCAATGGAGAGTGGGAGATCTGAGTGCGGACGAGGCAGGGTGGAATTTGGCGCAAGCTCGGACTGGTAGTTGACATTAGACGACGTATGTAGCCTGTTACTCAGTATGGATCTGATAGAAGTTCACTCTCGCTTGTTGTATTCTACGTGTAACTACAGATACCCTCCATAACTTGTGCTGTCGTTCAGAAGATACAGCCGCCGAATCATGCAAGGGCCACGAATTCCGAGTCCCGACGTCCGACTCACTGGGTTTTCTTTAACCTGGCATCGTATACTGCGACATTCAATCCACAAAAGGAGCGCGTGAAATGTATGTAGCGTCTGTTCTCCAAGAGCCTACTCAATTGGACCTTACAGAGCTGCCTGCTGGGCATCTTTTGGAATGACAGCCCAGATCTCGAGTCGATGAATCGATTATAGAAGTACGCATCCTCTGTTATTTAAAGCACAACTGCAGGGTAAAAAGGCCTCGTTTTGCCTCTTCTAGATAACCCACGGCGGAACTCGAACCCGCAACCTCCAGATACTCAATTTTCAAAGCGAGAGTAGAAGTCTGACGTCATAGCCATTAGACAACGCGTGCTTGACGGTCATCGTTTTCGTTCTTTTGGTCAAATCGTCAACTTTTCAACTTTCAACTGTACCACCGTGTCAATACTTGCAACACAGGCTTGCCAGTCTCCTAGAATCTGGATTCAAACATCTATCTCTCGATCGCATCTCAGTATCAGGAAACCCAAGAAGGCAGATCTGCCTGCCCAACGTCCAAGTCATCGAATGTTCGATCATCCTGTTTCAAAACGTTTGATGTGAAGCTTCTGCGACAATTTCGCGCGCGCTGGCCACTTCAAGGGCTCACTACGACGTTTTCAAATGCCAAAGTGAGAATGAGAGTGAATATTCTAAACGCCCGCACACGAACGGATCCGGAGACTCCAAGATCTCATTCGAGACAGGAGCCGGCCCTCTCACACCATTCAACCATGTCGCTTCCAAAAGTCCTCCCAGTACTGCGGCTTGTAACATTCGGTGGGTCGCCATGATTCTAAGTTTACGACTCGCCCTCACTTACGCTGACGCAGGTACAACTCTCGTCTTCGCTACCGTTCTCCTGGGTCTCAATGCACACCTCACCTACTGGACTGAAAAGTACATCGGGGGCTACTTCCGCTTCGCAGCATTGTCTATTGCTTCTGCCTGCCTCACTCTCATTACGTTGCCAATCATGTACGGTGCAGTCTCGGTCCCCTTATCGTACCTGAAATGCTGATGGAATTGTTTATATAGGATTGCTGTGGATATGACCAGGAACGCAGCTGTATCGAGTATGATTGCGTTCGAACTCGTCTGGTTGGGTCAGTGTCAGGAGGTTGTGTCCCCGTTTCCGGAGATTCTCATTCCCAAATCTCCGATAGGTATTCTTTGGATTCTCTGGTTGGCGAGTGCTGCCAGAGCTGCAGATACGAACAGGCTCGTATTTCCGGACGGTTGTGATTCTGATAGTTGTGAGCGTTTCCTCTGATGTTTCGTAGTTCTACCTAGCTGACCACGGAATACAGCCTTTGAAGACACTCTGTCGAGAATTTGCGGCAGTTGTCGCGTTCAATTTCTTGACTTGGTTCGCCTGTGAGTAGCCTTTCTACTTGTGATAGACACGCATTGATCATCGATATTTCCCCCTCTTGCAGTCTTTGCATACACGGTGGTCGTGCTCGCCGCCAGTATCATTGCCAAGTCCCGTGGAACGGTTAAGGTGTGGACAGCCTCGGTGGCTGATATTTCCAAGAACCTTGGTGGTGAGAAGAGCGACGGTCCCGAAAAACCTCCTTTGGAACCGCCTGTCTTCATCCCACAACAACCTTCTGGTATAACCCACCAAGGCGAGGATGTGGGATCCTCACTGTACCAGCATCCTTCTCAGCGAGCCCATAACGCGGGGTTCGTCCAACAACTGTATGATTATACTACATCTCAGTCACATCAGTCTTCCGGCACACAGTTCGTTCCTCCTGGAGGACAGGTGGGGTCCACCATGTATCTTCCACCTCGAGCGCAGACACCCTCAGGCGTTTCTTGAGCCATTTAGCCACCCTCGCTCGTACCATAATTACGCCTTTCGCTTTTTCGCATAGTGCTGGATTCCCTCGTGCTTACTTCTATTTAGTTTTCTCTTGTACGTCGCGGAAAATTCTCTCTCTGTCCTTCTCGGTGTAAGGTGGGAGGGAGGCTGTCTCTTGTTGTAATCCATCACATGTACTGCTACGTTTCGTGGCAAAGTGGCTGGTTATTGGTGTCATGTTGAAGGTCTACACATAGGTATCTACATCGAGCCCTCATTCACATATCTCAGGAGCGGTTACTAGTTACTCCTTGCCCCGTCCGACACGGACAACAGTTCAGGAGTGGTTTTGTTGCAAGGTTAAGGTAATGTTCTAGGTCGTTCTCCATGTCGGTAACCATTGGTCTCTCCGACTCTCGGCAGATCGGCGGTTTGCTCCCTTTTGCTCCTCTCCTTCCAGAAGCAATATTCACGGACGTCAAGTGTGCAACAAGTATGGCTCCCCTTTGCTTGTCGGTTCTCAGGAGCCTCGCGAGAGATCACCTGGATAAACTGGCATTCTGCAATGTCTCGTCGGGTTTGCTTCGGCATCAAAGTGTTCACAACTTTATGATGTCCCATGGTAAATCGGATTTCTTGGTGTCATGATCATGATGAACATGCGGATATACATAGCTTGTCAGTGGTCTGCTGCCCGGCCATTTGAGTTGGCTGTGTTGAGTAGTTGAATACAACTTCGCGAGAAGGCATAGTATGTATTGAGTCTGTGGTCGATTGAATTTTTCATTAAGGGATTGCGGTCATCGAGCGTCGGGTTCACAGACTGTCCTGTTGAGTTCTCTTCGTAAAATTCTACCTAGGTAAGTCGGGATGGGCCTGGGGCTCTGAAGTCTGTGCATATTTTCCCCCCTGACATTCGAGGTGAATATTTTTGATCCACGGCTGCCGCCATCCGTTACCAACAAGCCACCAATGCCACTAACAGCAACCGACCTTGATTCCCACGGGCCACCCCATCTCTCTTCGTTACCACCACATCCATATCGACCAAGCCTTTCCTCGCAGCGGATAGTGTACCGTACAGCTCCACCAGCTATAGCTTAGCTGGTTCTGGCTATATAGCTCTTTCTGCTCAGGCTAGTGTTGGTGAGTGTCGATCAGTATCTGCCACACGATTCCCGCACTGCAATTGCGGACTTCGCAACAATGTCAACGAATTGGTAACCGAGCTATGTCGTGACGGTCGACGTTGCATATATGCCTAGCTCCTATGCCCAGCGTTTATCAGGGCTTGCCGGTCTTGCTCCCCCAACTGCCACCCACCCCTCCTCTATTTTCGTTGTACTTATTTTATTATTTCCCCTTCTCGTCCCCCTAGAACCCGTAGCTCAGGAGCTGTTCACTTGCTTGTATCTCGCCGATACTGTCCATTCTTTAGATCATGTCTTTCGACTCCGACACGACCATACGGCGACAACGAGCATCAGCTCTGAGAAGAAGAAGACCGAATAATTCCGCTGGACGGGGTTTCTTGTATCGACGACAGCGAAATGACGAAATTCCCGGAGGAGGATCCTTGCCTATTCTCCCAGATGATGACCCCGAACCCATTACAATAACACAAGTTCGGACTTTGCCCACAATCTTGCCAACGTCTACCACGAGGACTACTAGCACCACTAGTAGAGCTACAACTACAACGAGATCATCAGTTGCGCCCTCGTCATCCGAGTCGTCGTCATCATCATCCCTCTCGGTTTCTGAAGCTCCTACAACGATCACCGTAAGCACCCCCAGCGCGACTGTCATCACCAGCCCCACTCCTTCCGGAAGCAACGCCGGTTCCAATTCACCCGACTCGAGTGTTCAGAGCAGTAGTGGTGGTGGTCTTAGTAGTGGAGCCATTGCAGGGATTGCTATCACGGTTGTGGTTGTTCTCGCGGCACTCATAGCTTACCTCGTCAGGAGGAGAATGATTGCGAGCAGGGCCGAGAGGAAAGGAGAGTGGTACGACAGAGGCGGTTTTGCGGCACCTCCTCCCCCTGTCATGGCCCAAGCCACCTTCAACGCAACTCCACCGTCATCCGCGTACGTTTTCGGGTCGGAGGCAGTGGGAACGGCAACGGCAACACCATTGTATTCACAACCCCCTCCACCGCCTCCACCTCCATCTATTCCGTTCGCGGCCTCGGAGCGGCCACTTAGTTTGATTCCAGGCAGGAGAGGGAGTGACTATTCGTCCTCTGCCGTTCCGTTCCAAGCTCAGCCCAGCACGGTGCCCATCCCTATGCCAGTTGCTGCTCCCCTTCCTGCAGCATCCACCCCACCTGGTCTGAGAAACAAGACTGTTCGCTGTACATTCGTCCCTTCGATGGAGGATGAGCTATCAATCTCGACTGGAGAGACTGTACGTGTCTTGCAGGAGTACGACGACGGGTGGGCCTTGTGCCTGAATCAGCAAGGAACACAGGGAATGGTTCCTTTGGAGTGTCTGGACGAGGGAGCTCCGTCAGGTTGGCTCGAGGGTGATAAGAAGGGCCTCAAGAGAGCGAGTAGTTTGAGTGAGAATTCCAAAGCAGTGTGAAGTTGAGGTATGTACTTCTATTTTCTTGGTTCCGGAAGCAGGAAGATTGACTTCACCATCTCTGTATTTCAAGACTAGCACCCGCACATTCGTTTTCTTGTCACTGTGGCCTTTCCCTTTATCTGGGTTCGTTATCGATTCTTCATCCGCTGGGTTTTGTTCTTCGCATTCGTCATACAATTCTGTCTTTCTTTACCCCGCATCACATTGTTATACCAAACTTCAATCACCTCTCGTGCATAGACACTTGTTTGATCACATCTGTCGATACTTTATCTCTATATTGGAACCACAGTGTGGTTTGGTCATTGTGTATTATTTACTACGGTTGGGATGTAGAGGTAGTACTTGTCATCGAACAAGTAGTACGTGTTTTTGGCATTGGAATGTGTTTACATTCGCGTCTCCCTGCAGATTTAGGAGATCCTCCCGTCCAACTCGGAGGCGCTATACCTCATCCTCAGACCGGACCGAGCGATTGCCATGGATGATGCATCGATGATGGCGAGGTTGGATCAGGGGCACTGGTTGCGATATCAACAGTACTTCTGGCGTTCACAACCAACAATTCCGTCGTCATCCTGCCAACTCGAAATCGCATAGAATGATCTTGCTCTTCAAGAACCCCATCATACCGGGCATAGAGGGCATGTCACTGGGAGGCTTCATTAATCGGAACATCGCTCGCAATGGTGGCGAATCTGCATCACTTGTCCTGAATCTAGCCCGGTTCTCCAACATACGCAAGATGCTATACTCGAACGCGTTAATGATTCCGTCGATCTCGATGTTGCCGAGATATGGAAGTGACGGTAGCCCATGGTCGCAGCCAGAAAGGGCTGAAATGAGGTCGATGGAGGCGTCCGTGGGGACTGTACGTATCCATTGCGACTTCGTGAGATGGAGATGGGTAAGTTGCGGAGAAGCGCTAAACATTTGT